GAAAGGCTAGGGACTAAGGACATTGTGGTCTTGAAAGGCTAGGGACTGAGGACATTATGATCTTGGAAGGCCAGGGACTAAGGACATTATGGTCTTAAGACAATATCGTCTTGGAAGGCTAGGGGCTCAGGACATTATGGTCTTGAAAGGCTAGGGGCTGAGGAGAATATAGTCTTGAAAGGCTAGGGACTAAGGACATTATGGTCTTGAACGGCCAGGGACTAAAGGACATTATGGTCTTGAAAGGCTAGGGACCAAGGAGATTAATGGTCTTGAAAGGCTAGGGACTAAGGACATTGTGGCCTTAAACGGCTAGGGACTAAGGACATTATGGTCTTGAAAGGCTAGGGACTGAGGACATTTTGGTCTTGAAAGGCTAGGGACTAAGGACATGATAGGCTTGAACGGCTAGGGACTAAGGACATTCTGGTCTTGGCTAATTGCTTTGAAGTTCGGGACCTCCCCCCCAAAACAGAACTGACGCGGAGCCAATCTTCTTGGAGTCTGTGTGAACCCTTCTTTTGCTGGACGGTGCTGCAAGAACAGTTGATGTTTAGCGCAGTCGTTTAGTGGTCAACATCTTGATGACCTTCAAGAGGGCCTCGCGTACGTCATGGACTGCATGTCCACACCCGCATCGGTCCAGAAGGAATGTGGAACTATCTCCCAAACCAAGCATACATGGCACCATAACACCTGGCGAATGGATTCCACCATAGGCCTTCAAGATCTCTTCCACCACCTCTGCCCCGGTCTCGGCTTCGAAGTTCAACGGTCCGAAGTCCCCCACGAGCTCCCGCTCATGGAAGCAGAAAATGGCAGAGGTGCCAGCGGCCTAGGCGGTTCACGGCCCCGGAACAAGTCTAAATTCTCAAGTGTTGTTGCTGGCGATGAACATGACACGAACATGACACAGACTGAACTTTTGGCTCCCCACCCAGGCTTTTTCCCTGAAGGTGACTCAGCATACCTCGGGGGTTGCTGATTCCCTCCCCACCCCGCTCCCAGGGAAATCACACAGGATAAAGCAAACAGCTTAGCATCTACCAAAACAGTCATCCGCATTGATGGGGGAAGGGCCTGGGTTGCTACGGGCTGGCAAGTCTTACTGAAGCCAGTGCCTCTCAAAGCCCTCAAGCCTCCCAGGGCCAAGGCACGCATCCCCACACCACAGCTCCTGTCTGGAGACCATGGGCTGCCAATGCACACAAGGGCGCCGGGATGAAATCGAGGCGGGGCACTTGGAAGCGGCCATAAAGGATCTTTGCCAATCGATCTTGGGCACTTCCTAAGCATGAATGGGTTGTCCAGCCGGGGAGAAGAACAAATACTAAATACTCTACCGCAAGCTGACGAACTCGAGAATTGACCGGTGGAAGACCATGTTCCTCTACAACCTCATGGTTTTTGGGGTTCCATGTTGATCTGCAGGGAAGTATCGTCCCAGAAAGCAGCTTCAGTTCTGGAAAATCCACCCACCCCATCCGCAAGACGGTGGGCCGTCTGGTCTCGCCGCTCCCCGACTCTTCACGCCGCAGCTTCGAGTGAAGAGCCCCGGCAGGGTCGGAACGATTAGGTGCTGCTCGGTCGGGCGCAGCTGGAAATGGCCAAACGCCCAGTTGAAGAGCCTCAAAACAACGGTCAGGGCTGACGTTTTGGGCGGCATCGGCCTCCAAAAACGTCAGGGCTGACGTTTTGGAGGCCTCCAAATGGCCATGGCCTGTTCTGGCCTATAAGGAGAAGGATATGGAGAAGCTCTCGGGCTGTGGGTCGAGGATACCTTGGTCTCTGCCTGGCCGGCCATTCACCTAGATGGTGGACCAGGATGGAAGCAGCCTCACTGCCAGGTCACCTAGCCACCCCTTCGGAGACCTTTTGAGAGCGTACTTGGCGCAGTCCAGCCCGGATTCGCTTCAGGAGCTGGAGACAAATAACACATGTTCCACGGAAGGGGATTCACCCGGTAAAACCATCAACTTAACAAAACCAGGTCCATGGGACAGGATTCCAAGGATCCCCTACAATTCCAAGGATCCCCTACGATACCATGGTAAAACCTTAGTACCAGTACAGTATACCACCTTCATACAGTATGACCAACTCCAGTGAACTGCCGACACTGACTCCATGCAAGAGAACAACATGCTGATTAGTTGACCCATGTTGACCCCTAGCCTTTTCAAGCACCCCTGGCCTGATTGGAAGTCATATGCCAGACCCATGAAGTGTCAACAAATAGCATCAAAGAGCATCAAAGCAGCTAATCGGATCCCAAGAGGCTCGGGTAACGTGCTAAAGTCTGCTGTGCCATCCTTGTACCACGTGGTGTTCGTCCGATTTGAGTAGGCGTAGGAGGCTCTGCCTCAGTCTGCATGGATGTCACTTCTGAAGCCATCAGTGGACCTGAAAACCATGTTCGATAGAATTTGCTCCTGCCACCTCTTTCGAGAAACCATGGATTTACTGCTCAACCGAGAGGGAGAAATCTTCACCATCCAACAAGATTCACCCACATGGAACATATAAAAATCACCAAACCCGGATCGACAAGTTACATCACCTCATTTGTTTTAAATAATGCTCACCATATCTCACCATTGATTTTACGACTGGAGGCCCATCCAAACCAAGCGATCCCGACCAAGTATTGGCACCAAGAATGAATTGTGTTCAACAACTCAGGACTTGTTGACTTGTTGTTTGATCCTCTTTGAGACTTGTTTGACCAATCTCAAGGTTCCTGAGACAATTCAGCCAAATTTGAGTTTGGCCGACTCAGGATTTTGGACTACAATTCACGTCAACCGAACTCAACTCTTTTAATGGTCGGATGGCACCTACCTGGGAAGCCAAGGTCGTTAATTTCGGCCAGCGGCCTGGGGCACGGGCTAGTAGTTCTCCACCTTGTCATGCGTACATATTCCGGGATTCCAACAGCCATATACCTGAATGGTACCCTGGGAGTCCAGTCGACTCTAAAAAGAATGGTCTTTAGTAGGGGAACTGAGTCTGGGAACTTCCTTTACTCCAGCCAGTCAAAATATAGGACCGAACTGGACTTCTAGGGTCCAGCTTGATCCCTCTGGAGTCAAGGCACACTCCTGTTCTGATCTACTGGATTCGTATTTTTTCTAGGGGGTATGACTCCCAAAACAACCATCCTTCCACTGATCTACTCTCCGTCTTCAACGGCCCCCGCTGGACTGAGCTCCGAAACGGCCCAACGGCCGCCCCTGCGAAGCCGGGCGGCCCACCGTCCACCCCAAGCGTTGCTTGAAGGAGCAGTCCTTGGGGGAGGACCGATGCAAGGCATCGCCAGTCCCCCATGTCACCGGTGGTAGGGCCGATCTTACAAGTCACCATCTTATAAGTGATGACTCAGAATCACTCATCCCTGGATCCCTGGAAGTCCAAGACCATATTGTACTATATTTGTTGGCGATCCGAAAAGGAAGTGCCTGGCACTTCACGGTGGTGCAGTCCTCAAGGGAAACAGGGTCTTTGGACTTCTTCTATAGGGCATTGTTATGAATATTTGTTCTGATTCTACCTAGGTGGGGCAGTTCCTGAGTCAGAAGCTTCAGTCACTTCAATCTTCCCGGGAACATGCGGCGCACATCGACAGTATGCGGATGCGATGTTGGACGCCTTGGACGTCCGGAGCCGACGGCGCGAGGGCGAGCCCGTCGGCGTTATTTTTCCGGAGGCGAAGCTATAGACTGCAGGGACTGGGGTGAGTGGGGACCCCGCGATTTGCGCAACTTTCGGGAGCCGGGGCGGGCCGGGGGAAAATAGAGCATCTTCTCACAGGCGATTCACAGGCATTCACGGCTAAGACTCACCTGATCCGCACCAGGCTGGGACGACTCGACACGCAAGATAGACCGGACCAAGTGAACGCGGAGGTCTACTGGTAGTAATGCACTTGTTCCTAGTGGCGGGTGCCCTTAGCTACTAGTAGCTTTTTGTTCCTAGTAGACTAACCTAGTAGCTGCATTGCTTGCAAGGATCCCATCCAACTCCTGTCTCGTGCTGCCCTACCACTGCTGGCATCGGCCGACGCTGTTCGCCACTCGTCGAGTCATAGCAGTGGATACAGGTGGAAGGGAAGATCACCTTAGCGCAGGACGCAGCTGCGCGTGAGATGCAGGAGCATCTGTATATATCTGTGCCAAGGCCCCAGGTGTGCCAAGGCAATAGCTTCATGTTTAACGATATTATCATCTATATATACCGAAAGCGTGTAAAACACATTTATAAAGCTTAGGATCATTATGTGGTTTAATTGATTCAGTAAAATATGGTGTAACAAGTAAATCCCCCACGAATGAGTCTTAACAGTTTAACTATCAAACATAAATGACAAACTATGACGAAAACACAGCTCTAAGCTGGAACAATCTATGTTTTTTTTTTCACATGTTAATTAAGCAAACCAGTAATAAACATAAGTCAAACATATATATAATATTATATAATACTAACTAATGCAGGCATAAGGACTACAACTCTGTGCCATCCGTTTTTTTCTCTGCGTTCACCACTATGCTTATCCGAGCTTATCTGTCCAATGTTCAGTCGTTAAGGCTCAGGGGCTCCAATGTTCAGTCGTATGGAATCAGCCAGGGAGTGTGATCTCTGCAATCCCGGACTGGAGGGATCAAATCAAGAAGGATCACCTGGAGGACATTGGAATGTTGGAATGACCACCCGCAGCATCATAAGGCCTATTCAGGTGCTATATATGTATTCTGGTTCTATTGTGCTAAAGTATAGAGGTTCTTCATGCATGCCCACCAACATCAGCAACATCTCGCCGCTCTCACACATGCTTGCCACCAACTGAGGGGATGCGCTGGCGAGCCCTCCGACTCCAACGACATGCAGCTAGCATGCGGCCCATGTAGCAAGGGGGTTCGCCAATAGAGAACATATCAGTTGCCCCACGAAAAACCCAGGGAAAGCTACCCCCTCCCTGACACCTTCAGGTCACTGCAAAGGGTGCTGCAGCCGAGCTCAGCAACTGCTCGCGGCGATATAGGCCCAACCAATCCTTCAGCTCCGCATCATGGCCATACGCCTCGCCTGACCCCGCAACAGCCGTGTCAAAAGCCGAGCGGAGCACAGTGTTGTTCTTGATTGCCTTTTCAATGACTTTTTCAGGGCCCTGCCAGGGCCATATATTCTGGAAGAAGACCTCATCAATCAAAACTGGAGACCTGCAAAAACTGAGAACATCCCACAGCCTTCGATGACCTCGTTGGCCGCAGGCCATCTCTGCTTGAAGAACTCATGCCAAAGCATACCTTGGACCACCACTACCACCGCCACCACCACCACCACCACCGCCGCCACCACTACCACCACCGGCCTTCCCATGAGAAGAATGAGCGACAGATGACGATCGTCACATCCGATCCACATCCACACGCTAAACTGCCTTCGAAAGGATCATCGAAGCATGATGGACCAAATGGACTTGAGTGAATGAAAGCATTTGATGGTTCCTCAAGTCCATTGTGTAATGACCTTGTGGGCATTACACATGTTGCCCGTTGCTTGATCAACTCCCCCTCTCCCTTACATGGAAATGGTCACACGAAAAAGAGTAGGGACGGGAGGTGGCCTTAACGGAAAAAAACACATTGGGTTGGGCCTCCAGGCCCGCGAATAGAATCTTCCAGGATTCCAGTCACGATGAATGGCAAAACCGGCTTTACTGAACACGCACTGTTTTATTAAGGGTTTTGCACTGCCTGCGCCAGGTCAACCATTTCTTTAATGCTCTTGGAAGTCTAGCAACATCTATTGCATAGAACGTTCCATCGCTCATTGCATCCGGGAATGCCAGTACCACCCGCTGCTGCACGCCGGATCTCCAAACAGTCAGTCCTTCAAAACGTGTCATATGCCAGCACCACCCAGGTCGAGTGGCTTTTTGGGACCCCCCTGAAGATGCATTTTCCATCTAATAACAACCCTTTGGGTGGTGCTGGTATGAAAGCTTTTGATGCATCAATGCCTTTTTGGATGGTGCCAACCAGCAGTCATTCTCGGTCTGCACAAGGCTGTGCACCGGAAACTCCTTTTGCGTTGTAGCCAGGTTCTGCCCCGACTGTTCTGGGGTTCCCTACTTCTCACCCAAACCGCTCAAAGCGTCCGGCTGGTGGTTTTCCAAAGGTGGGTCAGTGGGTCCGCTTTCGACTGCGAATGTTTGCCATACCAGTCTCCACTAGCTGCTTGGGACCCTTGGGATGCGCCCCAAGAGCGTCCGGACTGCAGAAAGGAACCAGTCTCCATTGGAAGAGCCACCCGGTTCCGACATCAAAGGAACTTGGATTTTTTAAGGAACCTACAAGTCCAGTCGGACCAAGTGACTACCTGGTCCGACCTACCTCATTGAGTACTGGCTTTGCATCACCGGACCCAGTCAAAGGAAAACCCTTGACCTGTAGGGTAAGGAACCTGAACCTGTACAAAGAAATACATCATATATTTTCCAGAAGTGGATGTGCCCGGCTCGAACACATCCACCTGAAAACCGCAAAAGCCGTGCTTCAACATGTCACATGTCAGAGACCGCTCGCCAGGTCACCAGCAGAGGAGATGGCGCACCACTTGGCTGACACGGGCGACGTTTGCAAGACCTGAGCCGACTTCACCGGTCTCAAATTGGGATTCGCTGTCACAGGAACCGGATAAAGACATAGAAAAACGATTCACTCTTCCCCGGTTCCGGGCATTCACCCACCCCATTTGGATTGAAAAACCTCATCAAGAGTCTACAGTCTACATGATGCTTGTTGCGTCGTTCTTGATGTCCATCCCGGAGTACAAGCAATTTGGACCTTCCCTTAGCCATCCATATACGAGGCTGTCGTGCACTTCCAAAGCACTGTGCTTGCAGCTCTTTTTTGAACAAAGATCATTACCACACCCAAACACTTCATGTATGGAACCCCCATATTGGCCCCTAAAACCACCCCAATGTATGCAAACGCCTGGGAAAGTAGAACGCCTGGGAAAGTAGAACACCTCTTCCCAAAGCTTTCCATCCACCTCTCAAACAGCCTGAACCCAAGGTCCTTCCGTAGAAAATAGCAGGTGGCTCGACATGGCTTGACAACATGATTTAATAATCATGCACGCGCATGATAGTTATACTCTTCAGTTTGGTCATATACTTGCGATCTGGCTTGGCTGTGAACAAACATGAACGACAACGTCCAGCAAGTTTTAGGCGCTTAGTGTATAGAGTCTTGGATTAATCACCCACCCAGTTGGATTATACAACCTCTTCAACTTGGAGGGGTTGAAACACCATCCAGCGTCTAACTTGCCTGTCGGACGAACCAACAAATGGTCTTTCTCCATTGCTCTCTCCCCCTCATTTTTTCGCAAGCTTCGAACATTTTCCTCAGCCCTCGACCCTGCCCATCTGGCTCGACGCGAAACCTGCCGGCGAAGCCCCAGCCTCCGGTGGCTCCAGAAAGCTGAGAATCGCTTCCCAGGTCTTATCCTTAGGGATCTTAGGGCTGGATGCCGCGATCCAGATGGTCCAAGCGATCCAGATGGTCCAAGCGATCCGGACGGTCCAAGCGATCCGGATGGTCCAAGCGATCCGGATGGTCCAAGCGATCCAGATGGTCCAAGCGATCCGGATGGTCCAAGCGATCCGGATGGTCCAAGCGTGGATTTGGGGTGAAGCAGAACAGGAAGCTGGAGTCCGAAGCTGGCCAAGCAATTTCCAGTCTTGACTGAGGCCTACATGATCCATATTCCATCACGATCCTACATATAGCCGTCCTACAGTCTCTCTCTCTCTCTCTCTCTTTCTCCAACGCCCTCTCCAGGAGATTAGCCTTTGGCTAAGGCGAGCTATAGTATTGCCAGTATTGCATACATTATCCTATGATGTCTTGTTCATGTTGTTCATGGAAGGAACATCAAGCCAAATTTGGGTCTCTGAGACTTCTTGCGCCCTGCAGCAACCGATCACGGTGTCTCTACTTCTCACGGCTTTCTCGCGGGATCAGCGACCGAGGGCGCCGGCACAGCCCATCCCGTGTGCAGCCGCACGGCAGGATTCTTTCAGCCTATCCCAGGTTCTTCCAGCCCTCTTCCAAGAGAGGTTCAGTGACCAGGTCACTATAGGACCCGGAACACCTGGGGTATACCCTGGCCTGGGATAGTCGAAGGGCGTCGGGATCTTCAACCTCTGTTGGCTCCTGTCCTCCACCCCAACCAAACCCAGGTGCCTCCAAAAAGAGAGCTTGAGAGCTCAAGCGCGGGTCCTCCACTTCGGTTCCCTGATGAGCAATCTGAATGCCCAGCGCCTGGAGCCATCCGCCCAGGACCCATCCGCCGAGACCGGCGGGGCAGCGTTGGCTCGAGTGGCCGAGTCGTTGGCGGGTAGTCGATCCGACGAGAAGGCACCGGAGGGGGCGGGAGGAGGCCAGGCCATCTCCTCAGTGTCTTGGAAGCTAAGCCGACGTCACAACTGCTTACTAAATGCTGAATTCAATGACGACAGGCGCGACGGGGGAGCATTTAAGGTGTCGTATATATAGTCAAAACCACGCAAAACAATTAAAACAATCATAACAACGCCATTTCGTTGAATTGGGCTGGTTTCGGCCCCCTTGCATGCACTGCGTCATCCACCATAGACATTGGCACGTTTGATCGCGCGCGTGGTCCACGGCGCCTCTTGGTAGGCCTCGGTGGTCTTCCGCACGTCGCCCTGCAGGACCAGGTCGCCGATGTGCTCGTAGAGCTGCGCCATGCGCTCGAACATGGGGTCCTGGCGCGGCCGTCGTCCTTGGATTTTTTCTGCATGGGAAAAGGTCGACCGTTTTTCTGGGGCCAAAACCTGACAGGAGCAGCCCCTCAAAACGCAAGTTTTGCTGGATTCTATGAACTACTGTTTCAGAAAACCAGCGACAACTGAGTGAAATATAACTTCTAACTGGGTGAAAACGACCCAAGCGACATGGGAATGCTTTGATGTGCCTTGATTGCAAAGTCTTTAGACACCAGGCACCAGGTTCTTCGCCAACTTCCCCTCCGCCACCTCTCAGCTGTCGGAATTGGAAGCAGTTGTGAGCCCACCCGTTCCACCGACCTCCTCCCATTCCCTTCGTTGCTCCGGTCGCTCGACTCGCCGACGCGCCTGGGACCAGCGGGGCACTTGGGGTGGCCGCTGGCGCTCGATGCAGCGGAACATGAGCTCGGTCCGAGCGACCTGAGGACGGAGCCGCATCCGTGGTACTGGGTACGGAGAGCTGACGGAGGGCGAGATGACAGATTCTGAATGGTCCTCGGATTCTTGGGGAGTCTTAGGGTATCAATGATCAGGGGTAGTGTGGTGGTGGGATGTGTTGGAGGTGGTTTGGAGTTGGGAAGCTGATGAACTTGAAGAGGGGACATCCGAGGTTGGTGCTATTTGCAATGGACACATAGACTGCATTTGGGAAAAGTTGTTTTCACAGCCGCTTTGGACATCTTTCGAGAAGGTGTGAAGCCAAAGAACATGCCAAAGCAAATGGCACAACACTCCAGATTTGCGCAGATGCCTGCCAGCTAAACCAACTGTTTAGTGACTAGTGGTGCAATCTGTTGAAGGTAACATCAGCATGCTGCCGCATGCCGCGGAAAGCAACTCTGTCAGCACCAAGATCCAAGATGCGTACTTCGTTCCAACATTGACCTCCGTGGCCGCATGGGGCATGTCGTGCGGGAAAAGCACGGCGCTGCCCGCGGACGGCTTCCAGCTACGGTGGGCATCGGTGAACTCGAGCCAGCCACCTGCGGACCGCGGACGGTGCCGCGCGGCCGGTTCCGCGCGTACAGCGGCGGAGGACGCCGGACAGCAGGTTGGATGGTCGGACGGCAGGTTGGTGTAAGGCAGGGATTGTTTGTATCCCAATACCAATGCACATATAGAAAAAAAAACAAGTATGGTACAGCATCCAATTCAAAAATATTGTAATATATTGTAATATACTATGACGATACCACTCAATGCATTCGATCCCAAACTCGTGAACGAGGGGTACTGAACGAACAACTGCCTTGGATAAGGCAAAGATTGGATGGTCCCAGTGAATCAAGCAATCTCCTTTTCAGCCCAGCGCCTTCATAATCATCATTCAGGTAGATCACCAACGAGTAGATGCTGCACTCACCATCATCATTGGTGTACATCCCATCGCAGTGGCGAGCAAAGTGCTCCTGAGCTTTTGAGGACGAAAACCCCAAAAATCGCAATGATGACGATTTGCATGATGTGCCTTGGCTCCGGCTCCCATTTCCAGTACCTGTGGATGATGGCTAGTGACTACTAGTGAAGGCATGTACCTTCCTCAAAAATAGTGACCATCTTTGACCGATAGTTGCTGGTAGTGGGCAACACCCTAGATGTTATACTGTATACAGAAACACACGAGCTGGGCCTTATCCCAAACACGAAGGCCTAGGGAGCATTTTTCCTGGAAAGCGATCAGTGATCAGGACCACCCATGATTCCCCACCCTCAGTGTGGCACAAGCATTTCGTGGCACCCCCTCTTTCCAAAATCCGTCCAGGAAATCACACCCATGAACCATCCAGTGATCTCCAAACAGGACACTCCGAACAAACGGTTCGTGTACAAAGCCCTTGAACAACTCCACACTAGGTCTATTCAATTAAACTGGCTCTCCAGGACAGGAGGAAAACAAAAGTCTTCCTATATCTTCCCCATGCCAGCTGGATTCACTCGGGGAAACCCACCTCCCGACCCGCTGATTACACATCCTTTATACCCCGTTCTCTGCAGGGCTCTCCGGGCTGGTAGCGGCTGACGCGGAAGCAGTGGTTCACACCGGAAGGCTTCCAGCGACCCTCGGCGCCGAAGCCCATGGGCTGCAGGAGGAAGAGATCGCGATGGCGCAAATGGGGTAACAAGCGGCGATACCTGAGAGGAGTTCCAAGGTGGAGAGACACCTGAACTGGGCTGTGAACAAACCCCTCGCGGCTGGTCGTTTTGTCCCGCTCTACCAGCAAAAAGTTTGCCGTGAATTGTCCTCCTCTAGTCTGTATAACATGGGCTTTAAGGAGGAAAAGGGCCAAACAAAACCAGGTGTTTTCACCCGTCTCACATGGGTCCACCTCATCTCTCGTCCTTTCCCTCATCGATGGCGGCATCCCTCAGAATCTTCCAGGGACCACACATGGACTCCATCAAAAACCAGGGTTTTCCCTACCAAAACACCTGGTTCTTGTATGTGAAAAACCATGGTTTTCTTCATGGTTTGCTTCGTGCCCCTGGTTGAATCACAAAACCTCCACGATGTTGGATGGCGAAACCTCTTCAAGTGGGTGGTGTTTACTCACCAAGAGACTACATAACTTGCCAAGCTTAGCTGCAAAGCAGAAGCCAGGCCCTCGCTGAAATGCACCAGCCGCGCGTTGTTGCGCAACTGCGGCGTGAATTCACGTGCCACGTCGCTCTGCCGAAAGCCCACTCGCTGGGCACTCTGGGTATAGGATGCCGCCTGGGGGAGCTTGAACTTGCTGGTGCTGAAGCACGAGTGGATGAGTGAACGACATGTGTTGGGAAATGTTGGGAACATGTTTCTGTAGTTAGGTGATAGGTCCAGGTCTCATAAGTGTACTTGGACAACATGTCCAGGGGGTTGTATCCAGTGTTCTCTTCAGAAGGATGTAGATGATGTAGATGTGGGTCATCACCAGAAGATTTACTTCTTGGCTTGGTGTTAGAGTTTTTAGAGCTGTCACGGGAGGGCCAAGTCGCTATGACTTGGGGGTGTCAGTATGACTTGCGTCTATCCCATTACCAGGGCCCAGTGGATGATGATGGTGAGTAAAGGCCTTTCTTGAAAAACAAATATATAATTGCTTACTGACTGTTGCAGGTCAGTTCGGACAGGCCCTTGCAGGATGACCATACGTAGAACTGACACGATCTCAGTTTGCCGTCGCCAGCGGCGACGGCGACTGACGTTGACCGATCTCGCCAGGGGGGCTGAGTGGATGGGAGGTTTGCATGAGCCTAGCATTTCCCTCAGGTACACGCCCTTGGACATGTTGCGCAGAACAGAACCTGCAGAACCCGCAAAGGTAGCCAGTGACCTAGGACCCTTCACCAGGAGTACCGGATAGTCGAGCTAGGGTTCTGACCCACCTCTGCTGGAATGCAGTTTAGAGAATCCCATCCCACCAACAGGTGAGAAACATCATCAAGCCTTGTAGCTGGTAATCTGTGGTTCATACGAAGGTGCGACCACCACGCAGTGTTCGGACGTAAACACCCAGCACTTTTCTGACATGTAGATCTTCTGCTAAGGGTTTAACCTGCAGTAGGGGGTGGTAGTAAATCCCTTATGAACCCATTCGAGGCTCAGACCGTCTTAACACAAATTGGAGGTTGAGAACGACCCACCCTCGTGGGCTTTCGGTAAAAGACACGCCCAGTTCACTGCTGAAATCATCCATGGTGATGCGGGACAACCACCACCTGTTTGGTCTTCGGAAAACTTATCCAAGCCTTGCGAGGTCATCCAAGCCTTGCGGGGGCATCCAAGCCTTGCGGGGCTATGCCGTCCACTCTTCCCATGATGATTCCGGGGGGAGTGGAAGGGATTCCGCACCTCCGTCGGCGACAGCAAGCCATGCAAAGCGAAGGCTCTGCCCACGAGATCCTCCCTCTTCACGTCCACCGCGGCATCCTTGGATTGGCTGATTCGGAAAGCTGGAAAAAGCAAACACATACAGTACCAAGAGAGGTTCAGTGACCTTATAGGAGCCTAGTGGGGTACTTATGGGATAGTCTATAGATAGGATTCTTCAACCTCTGTTGCACCTGAAAACCGTACAGGCCAGGCATCTGAGAAGAGCGACTGTGGAGTGTCCAGGTGGACATGCCGGCTTAGCGCATCATACACAGAGTGGGGCTTCGTTTCTGGCGCTGCCACAGTCTCCTCGCCCGAGAGCGCCAAAGAGCAAGGAAACACATCGGAAAACAACGCCAGCAGGTTCGACCATGCATGTCTTTCTTGGTTCGATCCATATCCAGGTTCTTCTGTTCTGCGAAGTATGGCTGCTCTCTCAAAAACAGAGGCAGCCCAAGCGCGGCCCCAGCCTTGGCAGGATCGGGTGACTCCTTTTGAAGCAAAGAACTGGCGAAGGCCTCCATCTCCTTGAGCTCGGGGGTCCGAAAGCCCATACCAGGATGGGACCACTGCGAAGTGCCCAAGCCGGGATGGTGGTAGTAGGCTTCTCCCGATTCCTGGGCTGGATGCGGTTGGAACCTTCTCCCCAGTGATGCGGGTTTGATGGACAAGGTGATTCTTTATCTGCAAGAACGGAACAACTATGCGACCGTAGTTGCGGGATAGATTTAATGATCGCAGGAGAGAGATGTGGTTGTATTTAAAAAAGGACTCCATGCATGGTCAAAAAAGTCAAAGCACAAGAAATTAATGCTGAGACTGACAGTCAAAATGTGGGATTTCCATAGCGCACGCTCACCTACAAAAATAACAGTCTGATGTGATCTAATCTGAACATGATTCGAATGGTATACCTGGACACCCCAAGAAGGTGTTTGGGCTGCAAAGGGGTTACCCGGCAGCCGTTTAGGTACCAGGTACCATCCTGTCAAGGTGGCGCCGGGCCATGTCAAGATTGCTCAACTACACCAAATCCACAAAAAAGGACGGGCTTAAACCACAACTCAAAGTTGACCTCAAACATAAATGCTAAATAACATCACCAACCCACTCAAACTGGCCTTAAACATAAGCATGCTTTGAAACACTGTGACTGTCCCAAACTGCCCAGCTGGCTCCCAAACTGCCAGGCTTCAGTGCAGCAGGCCATCCATCCTGCCGGCAGCTTGCCTGAGAGCACGGTGAAGGCCTTCTCCTCTGAGACCTTCAGCTGCTGCGCTGCCAAGCGAACTTCAGCCTCTGCGGGGCAGAGGCGCCTGCCACCGCCGTGCGGAGGCCGCGGTGGCACGAGTCGCGGTGCGGCAGGTGCTGAGGGCGGAGCCATGGCGCAGTGGCGGAGGGCTGTAGGTGCGGCTCCAGGTCCGGGAGGTATTTCGAGCACGGGGGGAATCAAAGGCAACAAAATACTGCTGAAGAAGACGGGCTGATCTTCCGAAAAGGACACTTGGGAGTTGAAGGATCGAACGTCAAAGGTACCAAAACTGAGCTGATGATTCAGTTAAGGAGGACTCCAGTACGGTGATCGGCAAGGGGAACACCGCCGGACATCAGTGACACCAGTCCCCGATGTCGAAACCTGAGATGAACACCGACAAATGCAAACAAATGCCCCATAGTTTGCCTGATACATCGCATCACCGGGAAAAAAACAACACCAGGACCTTCCCAGTAACCTTGTTGGAGTCCCTAAGTGACCGTTTACAAGTGACCTCAAACCAGGGGATCAAAAGGTCACTGGTAAAAAACAACAACTACTACAGTCCAAAGACCTCATTGTTACCGGAGCTGATCATATCAAACTTCTACTCAATGAGGTAGAGTCCTTAGAGGACCCGGGATTTTCGGGGTCTTTGGACCTGTAAGGACAGGGTGGTTTCAGGATGTTTCAGCATTGCAACGCGCCAGTGATAATCTTCTTCCAGAACAATCGCGGGGTTGGTGGCCCAGCACGATGGAGTCAACGAATGTTCCAAAGGGAGCAGCGGTCTTTGGAACTGTTCTTCTCCCCCAGTGAGTGCCATATATACCTATATCTACAGCCAGGTGACCCCGCACGCAAGCAGCTGGCATGGAAAACAACCACCCTTTTTCAAAAGTCGAGCTTTTCTCGGGTTCATGAGCAAGTAGCAGGATGATGATATGGCTCGCTCCATCGCACCGGGTGTCTTTCTTGGTAAACATGCGAAGCTCGCCACAGGCTGCAGCAAGGTACCCAGTTCCTGGGCACGATGTCCAGGTCAGGCTCCCCATCTTCCTCATGTGCCAAGATCATCTTAAGAACCAAAAACTCTCCAACCTCAAAGGAATTGAGAGATTCGAAGCCAGACATGCTGGACTGTATACTGCCCCCATGCAGACTAACACGGACCGTGAAAGTGGACCACTATCCTCATCTACTGCCTCAGGGGGTTCAGGGTAGAGGGCGGCTAGTCTGGTCCAAAACCACTTCTCCATGCCCTACACAAGGACCTCATTTTACTGGAGCTGGTCATCTTATACAAATTCTACTCAATGAGGTTTTCAGGACCTGGTTTGGAGCTGGGTTTTTGGACCTGTAAGGCATACGTTTGAGGGGTGAGTCTCTGGGCTTTATCCTTGGACCAGGGTCACTGTTCTGCAGCAAATGGAGGACTTCTGAAACACCAGCGGGTTTGGAAGCAAAACCGGGCAATGACTTGAGAAGAAACACACACAGAATGCTCGAACCGCTTATCTACGCCAAACCAAAAAAGCGTCTATGAATACGGTTGCTCCAAGGATTCTCTTCGCTCAGCCAGGGCTTAGCGACCCCCCCCAATGGATCCCCTCCCCCGCTGCGCCCGCATCGCAGAGCGTTTCTTTTGGCATCGTCGGCTTGAAGCGCCACGTACGCGCGGAGGCACGTGGCGCTTCCACAGGCACGCGCGGAGGCGCGCGGGGAGGCAGAACTTGATCGGGTGAGAAGGGGCATTGGCGAGAAGGGGCATTGGCTGCCCTGTGCTTTTGGGAACATACGTGAAGATGTTCCTGGAAACCCTGACCATCAGAAAGAACTTCTTGTTCCAATTTGGCCATGGAGATGCTGAATGCCGTCTTTCTTTTGTTCCACCCTCCTCTTTCGACGCTGCGCGAAGTCACCCCGCCAGACTCGAGCTCCGGGCGTGGATGGGGCGTAGCGAGCCGAGAGTTCAGTCTCTTGGATTTGCTGATTCGGTAGCTTCTAGCTACGTTCGTAGCTTCTTGTTACTACAGGTTTTGGCCTCCAACCTACTAGAAGCTGGCCTTCATTTGCTTATGGCGGAAGCCCGGGACTTGCGATAAACAACTATTCCTCAGGTTTTGATGGGCATCACAGTATCATCTCCTTGGATTTGCTTCAGGCTTAAGGGACCTGGAACCACTTTCAGGTGATTGACTTAGGAACCGGCACAATCCCAAATCGACCGCATGAAAAAACCGCATGTCACCAGGATCTATGAATCGGAACATCTCGCATGACCATGGTTTGATATTTGTGGGGGATTTCCTGGCCCAGCAAATTGTTTTGCCCTGAAGTTCCTGGTGTTTCATTGTGTTTCACCGAAGAACCATATATATATGGATTTTACACTACAAAACTAGGTCAACCATTATTTTGACGACGGTCTTTGAAGGCTAGGGTTCAGTCTTCCCTATACTTCCAAGCAGATTCAACATGATTCAACGGTCTTCATCGAACAATGTTGTTTTATATTGTTTTACTAAGGGTTTTAGACAACAGAACCAGATCAGCAATTTTTGTTCCGGACATGGCCCACATCAAAGCCATTCAAAGCCTTCGACTCGCTCGGTTTCGACTCGACATGTACGGTACCGTTGGCCCTGGGCTTCCGCCGATTGCATGGTTTTTACCGAGCAGCACCCATCAAAAAGGGTTTTGCACTACAAGACCGGGTCACACTTTTCTTTTGGTGGTTTCTTTAGACGACTATAGGGTTTGGTCTGACCTACGTCCATTCCAAGCGCCGTGGCACGAGCATCCGAGCGATATGCTCCGACCGAAACGGTCGGACTGGAGAGAAGAGTGAGAACACCGGACATGGCGAAGGCCCCTGTCTGAGAAAGTGGTAACGTGGTCTCTCAGCATGCTTAGAGACTTGTGCATCGATGATTGGAAGGAATCTGCAACATGACCGACCAAACATGGGTTGATGGACACCTTTTGTCGCCTGCAACCAAGAGACCCTGTCAGGTCAGGGGGAGTTGGCCGGCCGAACAAATGCGTCAACCTGTTTGGGTGTGGCACCTATTAATGATATCCCAATGGATTGTATACTGTATATTGCATGGACGTATCCATCCTCATTATCAGCATGAAGTGATATTCTTGAACTGACTGTTATTGGTCATGGGGCACACCAACAGCGAAATGCCCAACCCAATCAAAACTCTATATCAGCCCAGCGCCCTCTAACTCTATCAGCCACCACTTCGGGGGGGAAAGAAACAGCTCTACCCAAACGCTCCTTGCCCAGTCCTTGGTCCCTCCAAACCTAGGGATTTGAGGCCCGGACCCCTCCATATGAGGGTCCGATCCCTCCATCATATGAGGGTCCAGGAGCGTCTGGGCTCTAGGAAAATCTTTGGGTGCCTGGCTGAGCTGCAGGCGCATGCTGACCATCGGAGCGCTTCGTTCAAGCCACCAGTCCCAAGTAGGGCTTAGCTGTCGGCACTACTTGCGGGTCTGGTGTCAAAGTTCAATGTCCATGAAGTGCAAAACAGGTGCCATCAAAAAGAAAGGCTTGCCAAGATCACCCGCCACCATATTGACCATCATCACCGCGATCCTCATCTATGTTGTTAACCTTTAGCAGCTCTTTCCGTAATCTCCATGTGCCCTCGCCATGCACGCAATCGGAAGACGAAGCCACCGCCCTTGGCACTACAAGAGAGACAGCAGCTGACAAGATCTAGTTTCTAGGTCGGTAACATGTGGAAAAGGAGCTTCACAGTGGCTGAGCTAGGGACTAATACGGCCAGTTAGAGACTGATCCAGCCAATTAGGGACTGATCCTGATCCGGCCAGTATGACCAATTTGCCCCTGAAGCAAAAACGCAACCATCTGCATTTCAAAGGACAGCCAGCAACATGGTCTTTTGGTGTCTTTTCTAGGGGACTCCCCCAAACAAACACGAGAACGGGAGAACGGCCGGTCTGACGCATGACAAACTCGTGATCATCACATCTCAAAGCCCAAGGTCAAACATCATATTATAAACTTTCCCTATAGTACTATAGGTCCATGGCCTTGTTGTACTGAGTCCGGGATCATTTTTTTTTTAAGAACTGCTCTCCATCTTGGGTTGTTACTGGGTCCGGCTCGCTGGATCGGTGGTACCTTCCATCGATGGTCAGGTGGGGAGGTCAGGGAGGATCAGGGAGGATCCGGAGGTCGGCTTTCACTGGCATGGCGTCAGGGCATCGAAGGCTTGCTCGCGCGAGAAGCTCTCTTTGGAGAGCTCCATGCAGTCACTGGAGAAGGGTGAGCAAGCACAAACAGCTGCCGCACCAGCACCTCACGGAGCATGCTGATTACCCGGCGTGGCCGTCGTTCTTCAAAGACTTCAAACGCACGCGAATCGAAGGGAGGGTTTATGATTGTGAGTGCCTGCATCCTAAGATGGAAGGCACCTCACTGATCGGCAAGTATGGCAGCATTCGTCCAACAAAGAAGGTGGAACAAGGCCCTGTGGAAGATGATGTTGTTGGCACAAAGGAACCCATTCCATCAGCTTCCATGGTAAGGGGAGGGAGGGTAAACATTTAGGACGAGAAGGTTTGTTGACCTGGTTGACCTTTCAAGACCTTGAAACATACCTAGATTTTCCAACTGCGCAGAATTTCAACCTTTTCATGCATCTACAACAACCAGCCCAAAGGCCATTTTGCGTTGGAAGACCGATCTAGGATGATCTATGTTTCCTTTTACTGAAGACCATCAACTTCGCTTCTGACCTGCCCGCGACAGACCTACCAGCAGAGGTTGAAGAACCCTATAGACTATCCTATAGGTACTCCTGTAGGGTCCTAGTTCAGGTCACTTAACCTCTGTAGGTACCTCCGCCCCAAAAGCAAGTCGCCCCAAAAGCTGCGCGTTCGCTCTTCGAGGAGCAATAGACCTGTCGCTCCTCCATGGGCGGCATGCGGGTCCAGATCCTCGGGTGCGGTCGACGGTCGACCGACCGGTCGACCTGAGGTCCCGGTCTTCTTGGCTCCAGGAGGTGAGCTCCTCGGAAGGTGTGACTGGACCCTCTAAAACCCACCCCGAAACACCTTCTTAGAAGGTACTTGGGAAGGATTTGGAGTCACGTGTGCCCGCCGACTTCTTAGTTGAGTGGGGTGACTAAAACTCTCTGACCCCCCAATTCGGGCTGGAAATCCCTGGTTGCAAGAACTGTGAAAAGAACGGTGAACCTGGTTCCATCTGTTGCATCTCCCCTGCTCCTCTTTGTGAGGAGAACATCGCAGACACACTGGTCTAACGACGTAAAAGCTCTCAAAAAGAAAACGGTGAAACCGAACGGCATCAAGCAAGGCAAAGTGACAATGGAAAACTCCACGTGGCAAGATTTTGACTGCAACCTTCCATGAGGATATGTGCGAACTTCTCCAGCTCAGTTGTACTAATGAATGGTCGTGCACCAAAAATGGCTCCTTTTGGCAACGCCCGTCCACATTTATAAGCCTCTGTGGATCGATACACACCAGGAATAATTGACTGGCCAGGGCTCGAGAGTATGGAAACCACGGAGCGTTTAAAGTGTTTCAGGGCATCGTTGAAAGAGGTCCCTGTGTCCGTAAAAGCTTGGAAGGTATATCCTCGCCTCAGAAATAAACACAGCAATTCAACAAAAGCCACACCAACTGCATCATCTTTTTGCCACCGAAGGGAAAGCAGAAAACGCACAATGGTTTGGAAATCCTCTTCCCCGAACCGGCTTTTCTTGTCACGCTGTACTGCTGCTGGAGCTCGAATCCAGTCAAAATCATCGATGCAAGGTTTCCAATTCCAAGATGGGAACCGGGCAGAGATGAAATCGGAACCGTCAGCACCAATTTCTTCCTTCAACTGTGAGACTACTTTTAGTGCACATTCGTCTCCAATTTGCTTGTTGAGCATTGCAAGTTGTAGCTGGTGTTCAAATACTCTATGTTGCAAATGCGGATATAAGGACGGATCGATGGCGGCATTTTTCCGTGCCTCTTCCTTTGCCACAAAATCCGCACGCTGGTTGCAAAGTATCTGCTGTCTGGTCAACCCGGCTTCCCGAAGCATCTGCTCTGTCCATTTGTATTCTGGAATGTTATCA